ATCAGCCTAGGCGGGGTGCACCGCCGATGATGGTGATCTTGTGGATTTCTAGGTATACACGCTCTGCAGAGTTGATCGATCTATACGTATAGCTGCGTCCACGAATATGGACATTCATATGACCTACGCTTCCCTTGATTAGTGAGTGGAGTCTTTTCTTTTTCTCCCCCCTGGGTTTTGGTGCTGGTTTCCGGCTTTGGCCGATAAGGCAAGGCACGAGAGGGGGTCGTCCTTGTCGTCTAGAGAGTGTGAGAGTGGTGAGATGTGTGTTATGGGATGGGTGAACGTGTGGATGAGATGGGTTAAAACTTGATAAATTATTATTAAAACTTGACATACTTGCATAGGAAACTACAGCCATAAATAGGTCTTTTGCTCTACCCTTGCATTCCACTACCACAAAGCAAACGCAAAGTATAGGGTGAGAGCCAGTGGCCAGTACAAATCGTACTGATAATTGTTTGGCAGGTTCCGAGTCTGAGTACAACTTCTAGGGAGACGGTTGGGAGGATTAGAGGTCTTGTTCTACGCTCGAGTTTGGTTCGTGAAGATGGAGTCGACGTCCGATGCCGTTCTACCTGATGCTGTTCCAGATGCTATGTGCTCTGTGTGATTCCGCCAAGTGGTGATGTAATAATGAGTAAACCTTGCTATTTGTACTCTATGTAAGACATATATTCGATGTATGACTGTGATATCGACTCTTATTCGATAATGTGATAGAATGATCATCTGTAACTATCACGTTATATTTCGAATCTATGGATTTCCCTTCGCGGAAATCGGGCTCGTTTCACCATCCATCAATTTTGATGTGCCATTTTATGTTCTAGTGGTAATTTCTGCTGTAACCTGACCGTTAATCTGTCATACAGTTAGTTTTTGTTGTTTTTTATTGAATCGTACAGTTAATTTTTGTTGGAGAAAAGATGGAAAAGTACTTTGTTGTTGTTTAATCTTGGCGAGATTGCTTTGCTTGTACCTTTTTGTTTAAATGATTGCGCAATCCTGGTTGAAAACATCCTTGCTAACTTTTTTTTATAGCTTCTGTTGCTTGGATATTGTCAAATTAAGGAGAACAAATTCAAGATGCGTGCTGTCTGCTGTCCATTGCAGCTGATCTGACTGTTCGGAATCTGGAAGTCCAACGAAAATCAAACGCGTGATGATGGCTCAGCTAGGTGCAGCTCATGTCCAACACAAGTGCTTCGCTGGGATTCCCAGAAGCATCTGTTACTCCATTCGTGCGGACTAGTTCCTCGTTTTTTTATCATTTCGACCAAGTCTACACCATCATCTCTCAGGATCAAAGTAATAAATACCAGATAGCAGCTTTGCCGTGAATTAGTGTCTACATAGCGGATTATGGATGCTATAGTGGACATTAAGTTGCAATATCAAAATATTAAAAAATAGTCACAATTTAAGCATATGTCAATACTAATATCATGTTTGCTTAAAATTATAATAAATTTTTAGTTAATTATTACATTTGACATAAAATTAGAAAGAAGCATACAAATAAATAAGATATAAAGAAGACATGCGAAGACAAATTATCATTTTTAAGGCCAGTCACAGTGAGGGTTTCATTTCTCAATTTTTAAGACTATGTGTTGGAAACAGTGTAGATAAGTTTTATCCATATTAAACTTTTATCATCTCTCTTATCTATTTCATGTTATGTCAGCTCATTTAATGGTATGAAACTCCCATTGAGACTGGCCTAATGGCATGTTCGGCTGATCCGATGAACAGTGAATTTTGGTTTGTTTTGATGAATCAATAGTGTTATGTGAGAGAGAATAAGCCAAAACAAGCTGAAACAAGCTAGAAGTGGAACAGCCGAACACGCCGTAAGTTCTCATATCAATTGAAAATGATACCATTAATGACCTTATCATTCTTTATCATATAAATCAACATCTTAACATTTTTATTACCATTGCAACTATCTACACAGCGAATAGCAGCCCAACAACAATAATAGCGGACGTTAAGTTCTGAGAATTAGCATGAGTACATTACTACATACAACGTATAATTAATCTCAAAAGTTTTACAAGATATAGTTTACGTAACAGCAACGGGTAAAATTTCTGGAGTGACACCTTGGAACCATGCAAATAATTGCCCCCGTGAAGCATTCGTTTTTTGACAGTTAAATCTTTTCGTTTCCCAACCCCCTGGATTTTACACTGTACATGTCGCGATTCATTTCAATAGAGCGTGATACCTGTTTTCGAAGAAAAAGGATTTGTGGAAGCGTAGAAGAAGCAATTACTTCAAAGATAATCATATACACAAGGATGACCCGCTAAGTTTCCTGACCGCGGTCGCAGCGAACTGTGATACCTTGAGAAAAGGATGCAATCCTATGTAAGGTTGACTGAGGAAAAGTATTATTAAAATTTATGACTCCGAGTAGATATATTATAAAATTATATTATATAGTTAATCTAATACTAATATTTATCTGTTTATCATAAATGTTAGTATTTTTCTAGATTCGATTAAATTTAAAATTATTTGACTTCTTAAAAGTGAGAATTATATATTTTTTATTTAAACAGAGGTAGGAGTAATATATATCTGGATAAGTTTTAGAGAAAATATATTATGCATCAACATCAGCAAATACTTGAGCCATGGGTTGGAGTACCACGCACGTCACTGCACTGCAGGCAAAGCCGCCTCGGCGACCGAGTGCTTGTTGCGGCCTCTCACCCCACGCGTGCTGCAGCTGCTCGCGAGAGAGCTATATAACGCGCGCCTTGCCATTTCATTAGCCAACACGAAAGCCAATTCTCAGAAGCTACAACAAATTATAGTCACAGACGAAACCGGCCGGATAAGTTTCCCGGCCGCAGGTAGCAGATAGCCAGCGCGCGGCGACGACGTCGTCCATGTCGGTGGGCAGCAAGTCGCTGCCCGCGCGGCGCGGCAACGAGGGACATGAGAACGGCGACGGCGCCGTGGCGAGGGAGGAGGGCGACATGGCCAGGGGCGGCGGCGGCGGTAGCCGCAGGAGCAGGAAGCAGAAGTCGGCGCGGTACGACCGCTGCTTCTCGGGGCTGGAGATCAGCATCGGGCCGGGCCCGTTGAAGGACGTGGACGCCGGGAAGCTCAAGGGCCAGATCAAGAGGTGGGCGAAGGCCGTCGTGGCCTTTGCGCGCCAGATCAGCTTCGGCTCGCCGAGGTCCGTGCGCACGCCCGGCGGCGGCGACGACACGCCGCGATCAGCCCCGTTGCGGGCGTCCAGGTCCTCCAGCCGCCTCGGTGCCCGTGGTGGTGCCAATGAAGGAGCCTCCGACGTGAGAGCTTGATGCATGTACAAGAATTTCTTGGCCTGCGACCTGTACAGGACTACAAGTATGAATTTTCAGTAGAACTAGAGTCTGATTTATTCTTTCTTTCTTTTTTCTTTTTCTTCACAAACAAAAACAATTTGTTTCGTTCTTGCCTAGATGCAGACTACAATTGCACGCTACTATGTACAGCATGATGGTTTGATTTATTCTTTCTTATGCAGACTACAACTGCACGCTACTATGTATAGCATGATGGTTTGATTTATTCTTTCTTTTTTCCCTTTTTTTGGAAACAAAAAAATGTTCACTCTTCTCCTAGATGAAGACTCTAGACTCAAGGCTACCTCACTGTAGAACAAGAGTTTGATCTATCTTTTTTTTCTTTTACTTTTCTTAAAAAATAATAATTTGATTCATTCTTGCATAGATGCCATGTTTTTCTGTTTCGGCCCTGTTCGCTTGGAGGAATTTATGAGAGAGTGAACAGTATTTTTCAGTCGGAAACAGTGAATTCCGGCTGAAAAACTGACCAGCCAAACTGCCCGTTGGCCATGTTGTTCTTGATTGATAATGTCAAATTTATTGGTTGTACTATTCATCCATTTGTGGCTTCTGGATACACACTGAATAGTATTTCTTTCTGTTTTCTATCTGTACCTAAGAGAACAGTCCTCGTACGCAATACAATAAGTGTTATCATGTAATAATCTCGGACTTGGAAGAGGTAACTATTTTTCTATTATATCGATCCCAAGTTGATTGTAAATATACAATGTTGGTTTCTTGTATTTTAAGGAACTCTTTGTAGAATAAAACAACATTGCTCCTTCCATTCTAAATTATATAACGTTTTGACTAGAGTAGCTTGTTAGCTGCTCTCTTGTTTAGCTAGCTAGCGTAGCCTTGTTATCTTGTGGTTCTTTGTGTGGTGTAATGCTCTAGTGTAGAATTTAATAGCCATTAAAATTGTGCAGGGACTTGTTTGGGTGAAACTAGAGCTAGTGCAAGTAGTTGCCACGAGGACTTATTATTTTACTAACAATCTTGCTCTCTAGTGTTTGTACACAGTAGAGAAATTTTTTTATAGCCTATTTATCCCTCTCTAGTCATCTAGGTCCTTTTCAGCTCCGCACTAGTATGCACCCACCTACACTTCCCCTACCTACGTTGATGCAGCTCGCCGCGGTTTGCTGCCTTGGCGCTCAGCCTGCACAGCCGCAACTGCTCGCCCGGTCGCATGAGAACTCCTCCTTATTTTTAAGGGACGGGCTTGTCCTCGAGCATCCTCTATTTAAAGGAATACACTCTAAATCTTTTCCAAAGGGAATGGACCTTATCTCAACTATGCCTAAACCAAAAATATAAAAATAAGATCTCACCCCATCCCATATTCTCATCCCTCTTCGTCCTCTAAACCAAACACATAATAAATAAATCATCAAGTACACTCAAAAAGTTACATATAAAGATGCTGGTACGCGCACACTTGACCTCTTGTAATAACCACAAAAGTAAAAAAGAGAAGAAAAAGGCAGACCTATGATATAAACAACGATTACATCTTAAATTCTTAATTAAGGTGTCCATGTATTACTCCGATTTGAAATTATAAATATTTTGAAGCTCGACGTGGCTTTTTCTGTGGCTTCATTTCCAATTTTTCTAAAGAAATACCGTAGCTCTTGCTTTTCAACTTCCCGGTTCTCCTCCTCTGCCACCGCCTCCTCCGCCTCCTCCGCCGCCGCCTCCTCCTCCTCCTCCTCCACCACCACCACCACCACGAAAGTGCTTCTTTAGCTCAAGCAGCCCTATCGCGGCATAGAACACGTCGTCCCTAGAGATCACAGTATTTCGTTCCCTGATCATCGGCTCAGCACACTCACCGCCACCATCGGCTAGCTTGTCCTCCGCGATCGTCGTCTTGGACTTGATTGGCTCAGCACACGTACCGCCGTCATCTGCTAGCTTATCCTCTGCGGTCGTCGCCGTCTTGGACTCCATGTGCCCTGTCTCCGTCTCCTGGACCGGCGGCGCCTCGTCGGGTTCGTCGTCAGCGGCTTGTTCTGGCTCCAGCAGGTCGTTCTCATATTGCAGCAGGACCAGGCCCAAGGAGCCATCAGGGTGACCACTCTCCACCATGACGGGGACCTTCTTCTCCTTTCCATCCGTTCCTTGGCGCAGCTCGTATCGATTGTGCAGTTTCCGAGACCGGAAGCACCATAGCTCGACGCGCATGGCCACGCCCAGGCCGTTGTCGTTGACATACGCCTTCCATCCGGTGATGAAGCGGTAGCCGGTGTTGGACACGAGGTACTTGCACGTGAGGTTGTAGCTCCGGCCGGCACGGTCGAACGCGGTGACGAGCAGCCCGGTCTTGTCCTCGACGAACTGCATCTCCGTCTCGGTGAAGACGCTGGTAACCTGCGACGGCGACTCGCGCTTAGATGAGAAGAGCAAGCGCGCCTGCTCGTGGTTCACGTCGCTCATCACCAGAGACTTTCCGATCATGAATGACGGCTCTGTTGCGCCAAGTGCCTCGAGGCGCTCGAGCAGCGCGTCGGTGAGGCCGGGGATCTGAGCAAAAGGGACCGGATGGCGTGGCTGCTCCCGCGACGTGTTGGCGTCATTCTTCTCTTTCTTTTTCTTGGCTTTGGCTGCCGCCGCTGCGGCCCTCGCGTGTGCACTCCGGCCCCCGCCGTCCTCCATAGGCGTCGAAAAAAATTGATTTGATGAGTTTGTTTTCAAGTATTGTTGTCACCACGCCCAACTGAATTATAGTCGCGTAGAAATTGGGCTTTACGTCGATGTTAGAGTTTGTATAGGTTACTATAGGAACGACAAATGTCAGAAAACAGCACGTCCCATATATAAGTTTTATCCCTCTACGCCATGAACAATCTGTGTGTCGTGGCCCAACTTTTTTCCACGTCCGCTGGAGTGGAGGCCCAGGCCCAGCTAAAGCGGCAAACCGTCCAACCCTAAACAACCGGGGCCCACGGCGGCGGAGACCTCGAGCACCAGCAACCACCACCTCCGGACCCGGGTGGCGTGGCGGTCGTGGTCGTGGCGTTGCTGGCCTGGCCTGGACGGCTGGACCGGACTGGCAGGCAAAGGTAGGTTCAGACGCGACGGAGGCGTGCCCCACTCGGCCACTGGACAACCCAGACCCAGGCTTCCCCTATTCCTTTCCTTTCCTTTCTCTTTCTCTGCGCCGTCCCGTGCCCTCTCCGCTAGTTCTCGTCTCCCCAATTCCTTCCTCCACCTCCTCTGTCGTCGCCTCCCCAGAGAGTAGGAGCCGCCTCGTCCTTCCCGGCGCCGCCCCCCATCCCGTCCGTCGCCATGAATCCCGAGTAGTAAGTTCCTCCTCTCCCTCCTCTCCCTCTCCAATCGTGCTGCCGTTTCCGATTCTGTCGGTGGCGGGCTCGTTGAATCTAGAGCGTGGTCGGGAAGGTCGGGGAACCCGCCGATCTCTCCGCCGGCCGCCTGGGCGGGTTGTTCGGTCGCCGATTCGGCCCCGATCGTGGGTTTTTAGAGGGTCTCCCTTGCTCCTTTGCTTGGTAGTTGCCGCGGTGCTTGGAGTCTTAGCTTTGTCGGTCCCCACGCCAGAAATAGCAGATTGTTGGATGCGCCGTCCCCGGTAGCCTAGAAACGACCTAGATTCGTGCCGTGCCTGTGCGCTCGTTCGGTCGCGTTGCTCCGCGTGGCCGTTTGCTCGGGGCGTTCGGAGGCACTACTATTTTGTTTTACTCTTTGCTTCTGTCGTGGATGTGTTCACCAAGTTCGCTGTAAGGTGTGTTGGCTTGTGGTCAGGAGCCCAGATGATGTCATGAGATATAGATGCTTGTGTTATGATTTCTGACAACATGCTCTTGTTATTGTGCAGCGACTACCTCTTCAAGCTGCTCCTCATCGGGGACTCGGGTGTTGGCAAGTCTTGCCTGCTGCTGAGGTTTGCGGTGAGGATTCTTATCTTCCCTTGCACCACATATGAGAAAACAGGGACTTCTGTATTAACTTGAATGCATTCTCCATGACAACACTGGAAGGAAAATGTCCATATACCTACGAAGTGTATTTTGTTTAGTTTTGATGATGCATCTCCTACCAGGGTAGATGAAATGCTGTTCTCCAAGGCATGGTGTGAGTGGTGTCTGACTCACAGTCAATGTCAAATGACTTCTGACATTGTATAGGCATGGTTACCATAACTTCTTGTGATTGGCCCCTTTGCATACATTTGGCAATCTGGTCCCTGGCTCAATAGTTTACTTATATACAAATGTTGCTTTGGTCCAGTATCAAATATTGACCTGTCTAGGGTAGCTTTCTGGTCAACTTTGGGAAAAAATAGTTAAGTTTCAAATTCTTATCTCAATTACATTATTTCATCGAATCAAACTTTGAAGTAGAAAATTACAAAGCACGCAGAATCCAGTAGGTGCTACTAGATTTTTGCTTAAGTTGCCATCTTATACATCTCTCAAATCTTAATTATTTTCCATCGTGAAATGTAACCATAAGAGCATTCCGATACAGTACCATCATTTATGGAATGGTGTTTAAAAACAGCTGTATTCCTGAATTTCTGTTGGGCATCATCCCTCATAATAGGTGCTTGTTATGCTCATCCGTTTTAATGTGAGGATCTTTCTTATCATTTACTTTACAGGATGATTCATATCTGGAGAGCTATATCAGTACTATTGGAGTTGATTTTGTAAGTTGGTTTCTGAATGAGATAAAACAAAGCTGATTCCCTCTGTAGTGTGCCATTGCTTGCATGCCTTGCTAGTTGTTACTCATGTATGACCTTTTTTTTCCTCCCGATCTGCTAGAAAATCCGCACCGTTGAGCAAGATGGGAAGACAATAAAGCTGCAGATAGTAAGTAATCAACTGTAGTGAAGGTTACATTTTATGACAGTTAGAAGCTTTGACACTGATGTTTCTGCACATTCTTCTGATTTAGTGGGATACTGCTGGCCAAGAGCGCTTTAGGACCATCACAAGCAGCTACTACCGTGGAGCTCATGGCATTATTGTGAGCTTTCTTTTTCTTTGTTCCTTTTTCGTTTTTCTTTTTGTATCTATTATTATCTCATCTTGGTTAATCTGGGTCTTTTTAACCTTGTTGTATTTCTGTAGGTTGTGTATGATGTAACTGACCAGGAGAGCTTTAACAATGTCAAGCAGTGGCTGAATGAAATTGACAGGTATGCCAGTGAAAATGTGAACAAGCTTTTGGTGGGGAATAAGTGCGACCTGGCTGAGAACAGAGTAGTTTCTTATGAGGCTGGCAAGGTAACATTTTCTCTGCATTAATAACCTTTACCAGACATGCTGCTTTCAACCTGGATGATAGTTAAATGGCTGCATGTTGCTTGTCATCACAGGCCCTTGCTGATGAGATCGGAATACCATTCCTTGAGACTAGTGCCAAGGATGCAACAAATGTGGAGAAGGCATTCATGACCATGGCAGGGGAGATAAAGAACAGGTAACAGCATCCTTTGTTGTAGACTTTGTGTGGCAGCAGTTTCTCATTCCTTTTGGAGTGATCAAGTATAGTATGTCAACATATGGAGACCCTTTTTCATTGGGAGACAAGTACAAACAAAGAACAATGTGGAACATACTATTGCATATGATTCAAAGTGAATAATAAGCCATGAATAGCATGATCACTATTGTTGCTATTGTTCATCTGCATATGGGAGCAACTAATAGATCTTCGTTCTCCTTTTTGTTGAATAGGATGGCAAGTCAACCAGCTGCAAGTGGTGCTAGCAGGCCTGCAACTGTGCAAATGCGGGGTCAGCCTGTTTCTCAGCAAAGCAGCTGCTGCTCTTGATCGTCTTTCTAGACCACAGTAGTGTGATTGTGCAGCAAGCAAAACTTAAATTGGTTGCTCTATCCCTGTACATTAAGCCTATCACTATAAAAAAAACTCGGTGTTATCTGTCGGATATTGAAAGTATGTCTACTGGCAACGCTTAAGCAGATGATGTGGCCTGTTTTAACTGCCTGATCTTATTCCAGTGTTCATGTGATGTTGGATGAAACCGTTTCTCATTTTAGCACTAATGAGCTAATGATGTGTGAAGTGCTGGAGTAGGAGGATATTATTTTGATGATGAGCAGTCGTTAATCTACGAGCCACTACCTTTTACCCATAGCATATTACCATTTACACACCACCCACCCACCCACCCATAAAAAAGGATAGTTTTCTTAGAAAACATATTGCTGCAAGCGAATGTGGCGTCACAAGCCGGTGAATGTTGTTGCCTATAGATAAACAACTGTGCCCGTGCTGCTCATAATCTAAACGAGTACATCGATCCTAGGAAAAATATTCAGCGCAGATCCTCACTAGATGAATCGTGAAAACCTTCTGGAGTTTTTACAAAAATTAAAAGGACCTTACTAGTCTTCGCTTGCGCAGGCAGAGAAAGGACCCCCCCCCCCCGGTGAGTGCTCCCGCCTCCACCTCCCATTGCCTCAAGGTGACCTCCTTCTTCCCCTCCCCCTCCCGCATGTCATCGTGAGCTCCGATGAGATCCTTCTTCCGCAGCGAGCTCCAGCCATGACGCCGCCCGCCCTAACCTGGCCCGGCCACCTCCACTGCCGCCAAAATCCCCTAAACTGTCCTGCCGCCATCCCCACCGCCTGGGCAACCTGCTTCCCCGGAGCCCCTTCTCTTATAAGCCTGATGGAGTTGGGAAAGAAGGGGGTAGCGCGGGCCATCGAAACCCTAGTCGCCGCCGGAGCTAGGGAAGAAGACGGCGGGTGCGGGCGAGGGAGCGCGAATCGGACGGCCAGGGAGAGCATAGCGTGAATCGACGGTGGGTATAGGTCAGAGCGTCGAGCGCCCAGATAATGCCCGCTCAGAAGTAAGCGTTTCCAAAATTAAAAATATGCACATCCATAATGCATCTATATAGATATAGATTGTCGCAAAATTACTGGCTTCGCACACAAGTAGCATAACCAATCACCCGAGTGAACCAATCATGTAGAACATTTTCTGACCTAGTTGCATACGAGGTACGAACAGTTGTCTCACTGGAATGCCTGCCCACACGGTATTCTCTGAGTGCTCTCCCATGCCAAAGTCTAGATGCCTCGACCTTATGCGATGTGACAAAAATCTGCACCGGTGATGTCACAGAATTAGCACATTCAAGCATCTACACCGTAGAGACGAGCATCAACACTGATATGCCTGGTGACAACTCATGCTCAAAGCTGCAAGTAGTTGCACGAAGACCTGCAATCGTTGCAATGACTGATTACATACAGCAACTTGCTACTTGCCTAAAACAACTAAATGTTGCCGGCAAATATGAGGAAATTTTATATACAGGAACTTGCTACTTGACTAAAACAACTAAAAGTTGCCGGCAAATATGAGGGAAATTTATAATATGTATATGAACAGGGCTGCTGCCATTTTTTCCTCCACTGTCAGATGAAGCCACAGCAACTGATGCCCCTTATTTCCTCCCACCATTGGATGTTCGACCCATATCTCATGTTGGGTAAGTTGTAATTGCCTAGTGCGGCTACAGATTACATCATGATATACTGATATAAATATGCCAGGCAATAAGCTTTTAGATAATATGGTAACTAATGTACAAAGGAAACCTAGCAAATGTATATGCCTGCCCACATTCTATCTCTGCAATGCAAAACTGCCACAACTTCAGGTGGGGTTTTCTTGTCTCAACGGAAAGCTTAGTGCTTCATTGATCCTACTGAAAACGAGTCGAAGTGGGACGCAAGCGACTGCTGGTCCGCCAGTTTGTGCAACTACAGGCTTCTGGTCTGCACACTCTCTCCGGCTGCCAGCGAAAGATGATAGCCTCCTCATTTTCCTCGGCGAAGATGCTGGTTTCTTGGTATGGGGCCGCCAAGACTTGTCCCAATCATGTTCTGAGGCCCTTTTACGTCCACTGGATTTAGATTTTGATCGTGGTGCATGTGAAGATCTTGCTTGCCGTGGTTCTGCAACTCTGCTCTTCAGTAAGGAGTCGAGACTGCCCATCACCGGGTGGTGCTCATCTCTACTTGTGGGGCAACTATCCTCCAAAACCTCCACAGTGACAGGATACCCCACAATTGGTTTACCTGTCCATTTACTCATAAGGGAAACAAGGGGCACATGATGACCCTTGTAGCTTCTTTGGACAGTCAGCTCAACATCATATAATCTATCTGCGCGTGCTCTCTTGGTTGGACTCGTTACAGGGCACCTTGGAGGTTTCAGTTCAGGCCGCTGTCCAGGCGGTGGTAATACTTGAAGCGGAACATAATTGGGGAATGATGTTGTGCCCTTCTCAGAGTTTGAATGGTTGCTTATAGTTTCAGAGGACTCATCATGCTCAGGAGTCGCATGTTGTGTATTATCCTCAAGTTCAGAAGGCCTATAGACAGTACCTTCCGATTTTATAATCCCTTCACATTGCAGCTGTGAATTTTTATCCCTCTTGTGGCTTTCTTTAGGTATCAAATTGACAGACGTTATGCTTTTCTTCTTGGGATTTCTATTATGCCGAGTTGAAGGTATGCCACCTATGCCACAGCCAGTACTTTGATTACCCAGTTTTGAAATTTGATCCTTTATGGATGCACAAGATCCATAAGTATCCAAATGGCCTGGAAAAAATGATCAGACAGATTAGGAAAAACGCTCAATATGCTAGTTCAGAGTGATAAAATCAGATCATAGAGTCCCATCCATTTATATGTAAAACTTGCATCAAAATATGATGACAAATGACTAAGAAATTGCAGTCCAATTGGATAACCAATCATATTTGTATGCTAGAAACCTAAAAGAACTCTGCTGAACAAGAAAACAAGAAATTTTACCAATAAGTGATTTGTCTAACACCACATGGCCTACTGACTTATCTAATTGGACACAGTTGAACACATGACTTGAACGCTTACGCAAACCTCATCTACTGTTATAACATGTTACATCCACAAATACTATTCTTGTGTACATTCATGTAACTGACCTATCTAATTGGAGACAGTAGATAAGGTTTGCTTAAAATACAAACCATTTTTTCACCAAAAAAGACAAATATAGTGCAACAAAAAAGGAAAATAAAAATGGCACTGACTTTTACCTTCCTGCAGAACATCACCCTCCAAAGTAACGGCATCAAGAAATCCATCATAATCAGGGCAGTCGTCATTGAGAAATCCAGTCGTGCATGGGTCAGCATCCTTGAGAGTAACAGCATTTACAGAACCTTTATTATGATTGATGTGTGATGTATCTAATAATGTCTCCAAACTTGAGGTGCCTGAGCTGTAGGAACAGTTATTTACATCAGATGGAAAAATATTTTTTGCCCTACTTGATTCAAACAAATTGGGTATCTGGCCTCCTGGGTACTGACTAGAAGACTGGCCTGAAGGGTCCCAATGATAATAAGTTCCAGACACTTCTGAATCTTCAGATAACATTGATAGAGGGCGATGCCTATCTTTCTTACTCAAACTATCATAGGATTGCCCGATATTGGACCGTTTCTTTTTTATGGATGACTGAGACTGCTTACCCTTTTTTATCCCATTGGCACTGGACAAATCATAGCCAAAGCTTGGTCCACTTTCAAGAAGAGGTACATCTGAACCGATTGCTGCACCAGACTTCTGCTTGGGAACATTCTTTGTTCCAATCTCCCTAAGATCTCTCATACGCTGGAATCCTTGAACTGTATCATCCTCATGATCTTTATGTCCCTTCCGCTTCTTCCTTTTTGACGATGCATACCTAGTGCTTGAAGAGGATAAATTTTGTGGCCGTTTATACAGTGTCAAGGCTTGAGACGACTCTTGAGCTGAATTTTCTTCTATATCATACAGACTCCTTGCACCACGAGATTTTTTGCTGAGCCCATTTATATTTATAGACTTTGCAGAACATATATTCTGGGATGCACACATATCATTGGTGGCGTCCTCTTCAAGATCATCACAATTATTTGGAAAACGGGACCTTTCGATTTCAAGGGCATGCATAATGGCATCCTCTCTGCGAACATATCTCCCTTCAGTATGTGTCCTCTTTTGCTGGCGAGCTAGAACCTTGGCTTTTTCTATACATTCATCATATTCTCCACACCGAAATGACTTCACACGTTTAGATTTCTCAAGATTATACCAGTCACTGTGGCAAAGTCCAACACAGCAAGTAAGATAGACATTTTCAGACTTAGAGTGCAGGTCAATACTTTAGTAAACTGATGATGTTCAGTGCTACAAACAGAAAATATCTGAAAATGCAATGGAAGGGTGATAAACATTAATTTATGCACTTGTTTGGGAAGTTAAAAGCAAACGTTGAAGACTAAAACATGCATACAACTTCAAATGGTTAGTTCACCAGTTGAATAAAAACTTCAAATCCAACTTCTTATATATGGTAATATTTTCTTAGTATCAGCACAATTTTTAAACTACACAATGACTTGGAGAGTACGTTCATAGACCAAATATACACCAAGAAAATAGATCAATCACTGTGCACGCAATATCTTAATTTTAAGAAATGCATGAAATGTTTTGGCCCCCCAAGGCATACATAGAAAGGTAAGCTTATCCTTATCATCTAACGGATACTTATGATACCTATACCACTCTCTAGGTTTAGGCAACAGGGGTTGTGGAAAAAAAACGTTTAGGCAACAGGGGGCTGTTATCCTTATCATCTAACAGATACTTATGATACCTACACCATTCTCTAGGTTCAGGCAACAAGGGGTTGAGAGATACGTTCAGTTGATGCTGGCATGCTGCCACCATGGGTAACAAGAACAACATCTACAG